TCCTTGAACTCCTGGGCTCAAACAATCCTCCTGTCTCAGCCTCCTCAGTAGCTTCAACTACAGGTATGTAACCACACCCTGCAGTGCTATTTTTTTAATGCAATTCATTTGAATGCCTTTAGACTGGGAAGGTACTCTTTAGTTCATACTAGTCCTGTATTTCATTCGTCCCTGGAAGCTAGAGATGTAGAGATTTACTTTACAAGCCTGGCCCCTATAGGTATGTGAATTTGGTGTACCTTATAAAGCAGGTTTAGAAGAAGGCATAATGATGCATGAGCAGGGTTTTCTAGCACCAAGTCTTTTAGCACTGTAGAAGAGAAGTTGCAGGAAAATTACTTGGACTTTGGGGAAAACAGGTACCCTGCTTTAAATTTTGTTGTTACATCTCTGTCACCCAGAGGAATAAGGACTTAAGACAGAAGTTATTTTGAATCTAGAAAAAACAGAAAAAAATTACATTTTGTGCACACATGGATTTGTGGACTATAATTTAATTTCTCTTTTCCATTATTTATCCTGTCAAACTATAATTATCAGGATGCAACTGAGTGGTAGTACTTAAAAATTCATTTTTAAGAATGCAAATATTCCTTTTTCAATTATATTAATAGAATTTATTTAGTTCCTTATTCCCCAGAGCTTAAATAAAATTCATGTGAAGTAATTCAAAAAGGAAAGACAAAATTTTCAACCTACTATGTTCTTCTCCATGGATACAATGCTCACTAATCAAGGGTGACCCCCATCTTGGATGCAAAACTAAGAATGGGCTCTATCAATTGAACATGGTGGTTTAGCATAATGCCTTAAGGGGATGATGCTGAAGAGTGTTATGGTAAGCAATTTAAATTAACCATGAAAACAAATTTATATTGAATCAATACATTATACAGAAGTTTTGAGGAAAAGAATAATAGCCAAAAGAATGTGAATGAATTATGGGTTCCTAATGATCTCATGTTTGGGGGAAAAAGGAAACAGCAGATATTGAGGCTTATAGGAGTGACTGACTCAGATTGGAAAATACTTACAAAGCACTGAAATGTTGCTAAGGATTCAAGATTTTTAAAAAATATTATATGTTACATCTTCCTAACATGAATGAAAGACCAAGAAGTTTGAATTAATGCCACCTTCTCTTAAGAACTTCCACAATATTGAAGTAAAATATTCATAATATTCTATTTATTCAAAATGATTCCAATGACCAAGAGTTTATGTTTATGTAAAATTGTTAGTAATACTGTTGTTGGTAGGGGATAGGGTGGAAGGAGTATTTCCTTTGCAGAAAATCACTTTTTTAAGGTTCATAAAGGCATTTTCCACCTTGACCATCTCCTACTTCCAGTGACCCACTTTCTACAGTAGAAAATTAGAAGTCAAGGCTCCTGTTTCTATTCCTGCACTATCAGAGTCAGTTGATTTTCTGCAGAAGTTTTTCTGCTTGTAAATCTAAACCTCAAAGCCTTTAGTTTGCATTTCACCTAAAATAAAATCAATGACCCTTTGGAGAATCAAGCTTTAATGAGGGGATGCCTATTACTATAATTTCTTCGAAGATATTGTTGAAAAATGGTGCCCACATGTGTTTAAGTATCATAGGTGAAATTTCCCTTTTGGAAAGACCTCACTTTTTCTTTTCTTCTAAGGAACAGACAATTTTTCCTTTGAGAGCAATTAGAACAACAGAAGGATGACTGCCCTTTTTCCTTTAACTATCCATCCTTTAGTGCCAAACTTACAGTCTACCAAATGGTCTTCTTTTCATGTTCCAAGTTTTCTTTGATCTGTGTCTGTGATTCTAGTTCATATGTCCCCAGGTTCTACTTTATGTTTATTTTACTCTTCATCTGTTATCTGTAAGCAAGTTTAAATCCTTTGTGAAATGACATATAGAGGGAGGGAGGTGGAACAGAGGGAAAATGAAAGGCAGAAAATAAAAGGAGGAAAGAACTAAAATTTTCTTTATAATGGAGTAGAGTTTGAAATGACTGATCAAATATATATTGAAGTCTCTTTTACCAAATACAACATTGGCATTTATCACTCTACTGGAAAGGCATAAAAGCAGAGAAAAGCATGTGAAGTTTTATTTCCCTTAAAAAGAACATATAATGGACATTCTGCAGAAAGCTGAAAATCTAGCAGTAGCAGGTGTGGATTACAGAAACTACTACTGCCATCGTAATAGGTGATCTGTTTATGTAACTACCCCAGACGGGCATGGGGCTGGAAAGCTTCAGTGTTTTCCTGTTTTCGCTTTTCTAAGCTCTTTAACAGAAATTACCCTCCCCTGCTCACATCCTAACAAACACCTTGTGAAACAGGTCACATGAACAGATGTTATTTCAACTGATGAATTAAAGCTCAATTTACTCAAAACCACAAAATTAAGATTTACTGGCATTACAATAAATAAGCAGAAGGTGGTAGTGTCAGATCTAGCTTGAATTTCCAGTTCCAGCAACTACTTATGAGTTTCAGAGCATGTTACTTAACCTGCATCTTCATTTGTAAAATTAGAATACAACAAGGACTCTGGATGTTTCCCTCTCCCTCTTCCTAAAGTTCTGTGTATTTTGCACCACATCTCTAGAAGTTTAACTTTGTCAGACCTGACATCAGCCTCGAGTTGGCCTTTCCTTGGAACTTGCATCTCCAGCTTGGTCTCCTTTACCGCTGCAGGGCAGGAAACTCCACTTGGCCTCCACTTGCCTGCTGCCCATGTTCCAGCTAACAGCCACTCCGCAAAATGGCCTTGCAGATGAGCCAGTGCACATCCAAGTGACAGGCTTGCCCCCATCCCAGATGGTGACCCTCAAGGCCTCCCTGAAGGATGAGAAGGGGAATCTGTTCCGGTCCAAAGCCTTCTATAGGGCTAATGAAGCTGGAGAGGTAGACGTGGAGCGACATCCCTCATTAGGGGGTGATTATATAGGGGTCCATGCTATGGGCCTCTTCTGGTCTCTGAAGCCTGAAAAGGCTTTCCGGAGGCTGCTCAAGAGGGATGTGATAAATGATCCCTTTAGGGTCACTCTGGACCTATATGACTCTGTTTGCTTGCAAGATTCAACCACAGCTCAGCCCAGGGCCAGCCAGATGGTGCAGCGCTGGTTCTCGGGCCCTGGGGTGCAGCGGAAGCAAATCAGAGAAGGTCGTGTGAGAGGAGCTCTTTTTCTCCCTCCAGGTGAGAGTAATCTTTGGTGATAAAGTAAACATTGTTGATGGGGGGAAAATTGTATCCAGATATAATGAATTTTCTCACTCTTTATATTCATGGTTCTGCTTGACCCTCTTTACCTGTGATCCCATTCTCTTTGTTGCTCTCAGGAGAAGGCCCTTTCCCAGGAATCATTGATTTGTTTGGGAACATTGGGGGTCTAGTTGAATTTCGGGCCAGTCTTCTGGCTACCCATGGCTTTGCAGTATTGGCACTGGCATATTTTGCCTATGAAGACCTGCCTGAGAAACTGCTGGAGTTGGACTTGGAATATTTTGAAGAAGCTGCCAACTTTCTACTAGCTCATCCCAAGGTATTTAAAGTACTTTTCATTTTATCTTACAAAATTACAGGGGGGAAATAATCACCAAAGTCTGCTATTTTTTTTTTTTTAAATCAGTCTGTGTAGACTTGGGTACAGCACAACTTACATTTAAATAATGATTATAATGACTTTGTAGGATTGTTGAGTTGATTAGCAATTAGCGTTTACTGACATATCAATAAATGGATACATTATGATTCTTTTCAGCAGAAAAAGTCAAGTTTCCTTACATTTGAAGTGCTTGTAACTTATTCATAAGTGGCTCTTTAATGTTTTATCAGTCACTAATCTCAAATCGTAAATTCTCTGGCTTGACATGTTTTCAAACTTCAGTGATTATCTCTGCATGGGGTAATGCTAGTGTAGTTCCAACTGAAGGGTCCTGAGACTAAGAACAATATAGAAATTCAATATTCAAATTGAAGCATACGATTAGAGCAGGAATACCAGCAAAAACTGATTTGGCTGCAACAATTAATTAGCTGAATTTAGTTAGTTTCAGAGGTGGGGGTACAGAACTGTGTTTAAGGTAAATGTCCAATGCCAGAAGCCAGGATTGCAAAAGGAATTTGAAAAGGAAGTGTCATTTTTTAACTCTTTGTTAAGTATCATTGTACTAATGAAAATGTGGCCCATGGTTCAGTGGCTCTGCATCACCTTTTAGAAATGCACACTGTCATTCCCTATTTCTGAATCAACATCTGCACGTTAATAGCATCTTCAGGTGATTCTTAGGCACATTAAATTCTGAGCACCAGAATAGTACATCTTGTAACCCAGCTTTTTCTAGGAATTAAGTTGAATTATGATGTAGTTGTCTTGAGGAGATTCCAAAGGACTGATATTTACTAGCATATAGTAAATTCTCAACAAATCCATTTGTCATCTTTGCGCATCCAGTTTCCTCCACCTTTCCCTAAAATTTCAACTCCATTCTGAGTGTTTTAGGTTCTGCCTTAAATCTTTCTCAATACAGCACAACTTCTTCATCCTCTCTGCAGCTACATAAGTTCCTTCCCTCATCGTTGCTCACCTGTGACACCATAGTTGTGTATCAATCAGTTTCCTATCTCCAGGCACAGCCCTCCTCTCTCACACCCTCATCTGTTCTTCACATGGACACATCCCAAATGTAGATTTCTTTGAGGACATTTTTCAGTATCACATTCTTGCCCCACTCAGACCTATTGAGCAGACATCTGAAAAATTGGATCCCTAATAAGGAAAAAAAGTCCAGGTGATTCTGAAGACAGAAAGGGATTGAGTGTGCTATTGTGAGAAAAATAAACAAGCAGGTCTCTCTGTGCTTGATATTGTCTGTCCAAAATGTCCCTTTCTTCCTCCCTTGCCTTTGAGACTTCTTCCCTCTCATGGGCATCTTCAATAGACCAGGGAATTAAGGACTCCCTTCTGTAGTCCATTATAATTTTCTTTTACTGGTTATGGTAATCTGGTGTTCATGGAGGGCAAGTCTTTCATCTGTACATTTTCAATACTTTCAGAGTTATCTCTTGGATTAATGTAATAATGCATTACATTAATTCATTAAGTTTACAGCTATTAAGTTTTGGCATAACTTAATAGCTGTAACATGCTATTTATTTATGATTTAGTTAGTTATTTTGGGGCACGGGGGATTAAACTCAGGGGCTCTCAACCTCTGAGCCACATCCGCAGCCCTATTTTGTACTTTATTTAGAGACAGGGTCTCACTAAGTTGCTTAGTGCTTCGTTTTTGCTGAGGCTGGCTTTGAACTCTGATCCTCCTGTCTCAGCCTCCCAAGCCACTGGGATTACAGGTGTGAGCCACCATGCCCAGCACATGTTATTTAAATGGGAATTACACTTAGAATATTTGAGAGAACCTGACAAGCATCTTTTTCTAGCTAAAGGACAGGATGTAGTTAACAAAGTTTAACTGCTGTGTTCTGAGGCTCAGTGTTGCTGGACTCTGAGGGCATTTATAGAACTTGACCTTTGATGAAGTTTTTATTTTTATTGTTTCACTCCATCCTCATAACAACTCTATAAGGCAGGTGAAATTGTCTCCCCAACAAGACCATGAAGCTTAGAGAAGGTGAGACATTCTCCATGCCAGAACCTGGGAGACCCGAGTGCCAGAACTCAGACTTTTTTGACTCTTTTCATTAGGCTGCTTTATTGACCTTCTTGAGTATGGGTTGTAATGGGTTTTCCTTTTGTTTTGTACTTAAGATCCAAAGGCCAGGAATTGGTGTGATCTCCGTATCCAAAGGTGCAGAGGTTGCGCTGGCCATGGCCTGCTATCTGAAGCAGGTGGTAGCCACCGTCTGCATCAATGGGCCCAACGCTGTCTTGGATATCCCGCTCAGATACAGGGATCTTCTTCTAATGCCCATGCACTACCATAGGGAGCACATCCAGACCCATGTCTCTGGGGCTGTGCGCTTCCGCAATGGGAATAGAGACCCCTGGAATGAGCTGAACCAGCAGAGTGTGCTTCCTGTGGAAAAGGCCCAAGGTTGCATCCTCTTCATCGTAGGAGAGAATGATGAATGCTTGGATAGCCGAGCACATGCGGAGCAGGCCATGGAGCAGCTGAAGAGCCACGGCAGAAGCACTGGAAAGATGCTGGTGTACCCTGGGGCAGGCCACCTCATAGAGCCGCCCTATGCTCCCTTGTGCTTTGCATCCTGGAGTACAGCGCTCCCCTGTCCTGTGCTCTGGGGAGGAGATCCTGTTGCCCATGCTGCAGCTCAGGAGCATTCCTGGGGAGAGATACAGAAATTCTTCAGGCAACACTTCAGAGGGACCAGAGGCAAACTCTAAATAAAAGCTTCGGGAAGATGGGGTGGGGAGAAGAGGCTGGAATGGGGGAAGGCCAGGGACAGAATGGGAGAAGACAGGGAAGGGGGATTCTTCTGGTTTCTCTACATTTACAGCCATATTGAATCAACTGGATGGAAATTGAACAAAAATCAAAGACCAGGACACATGAATCTGAGAAGTTTAAATGTGCTTTGAATGTTTGTAAATTGAATCCCAGTTTGTATTGTGATACTTTTGCAAATTGAATAATTTTTATCTACATGCCCTCCCACCCCACTTAGGGATGGCTTATATCCAGGCATTGCTAATCTTTATGTATTCCCTGAAATTTTCTGTAATTCCTGTTACTAGCAGGAATACAATTTGTATTTAAACAATTTCGAGTTGGTTTCTGACTTGCTATGAAAGTTCTAAAACCACCATCAAGTACAGTGCTTCCTGTAGATATTCAGTAGATAATTTTTAAAATTTAAAATACCATGTTAAAGTGCAATTATTCTCTCTATTCCATTTACTTACTGTCACGACCCCTCGCCAGCAAGGGAAACACGACACAGAATTCTTCTTTCAGCAGTTTATTCAGG